CAAGTCATTTTACAAGGCAGTAGAGCCACACACTCTAGGATAAACTCTGCGTCCTGACACGTCACCACCACCTTTGTTTAAGCCTGAAAATCACTTTCGCTCTGAATAGAGTGGAACCAGCACTAAGCAAAGCAGGACCCTCGGTCACAAAACTGCAGCATCTTCACGCTCAGAGAGACCCACAGACGATCGGGTCGGATGCTTCCACTTCAGCAATGGGAGACTGAGGCCCTGACAGCACCCGACTGCCCCAGCAAGCTGGCTGTGGACACGCGTCTTTGCTCCCGTGAGGCACTGGTCTGTACGCTGGGAACAGTAGCGGCTGGGCAGCAGAGGCCCTGGGAGGAAAGGGAAGGTAACGAGGCAAGGCCAGACCCCAACCAGGCCCCAGCACTTGTGGCAGAAAGTGGGGAGCGGCGCCCTACTCGGCCTTTGCACAGCTGCTCCTCCCCTGGGCAGACCTGCCCTGGGCATCAGTACGCTCCTCCTCAGGTGCCTAAACCCAGCAGCTGCCTCCTCTGAGAGGCCTTCCTTGCTTTCTGAGTGGCATTCTGCCAGCCCTACCTGCTCCCATGGCCAGCCAAGGCATACATGTCATGCTTCTGTGAGCAAGCCTGCTGCCTGGCCTGGGGCCACGAGCCCTAACTCAGCACCTAACCCTGGGCTGCCAAGTCAGGCGTCATGATGGCGCCACACAGCGCTGCCAGGGAATGGCCATTATGCAAATGCAAGGTACTGATTATTAGAGCAATTTAAAAAGAAGCTTCTCCTTTTTAGGCTTATTTTGCTTCATAGAACATTTTTAAGTGGCAATATTTTGTGTTAATTTTTCAACCAGCTGTTCTTATTATTTGATTATACATTATTCAGGCCTCTCCAAAGCAAGCTTAGCACCCTCAAGCACATGGCTTTCATCTGGAGTTATTTCTCCCCACAGGGGGACTCGCTCCAGCTCCTGGGAAACATTCTGGACCTGAGTCCATGCCACAGGCCACGCATGGCTGCAGAGCTCCTGCCCCAGAAATTGACCTGGGCTGCACCACAGTGTGACTGATATAACCAGACAGGGAACTCAGGATGTGCTGTCTCAGGGCAGGCTGGGATGCCAATCACAGGTCCAGCTAGATTATAGCTTGGATGCACTGGGTTAAATAAAATACGTTCTTAAAATTAATTTCATCTGTTTCTTATGTTTTTTCCTTAGAGACAGAGCCTCACTGGCGCCCAGGCTGGAGAACAGTGATGCAATCACACACACTGAAGCCCAAACTCCTGGCCTCAATCAATGGTCGCGGCTCGGCCTCCCAAAGTGTTGGGACAGCAGGATGAGCCACTGTGACGGCCTATTTTTATTTTTTGATGAAGCTACTGGGAAATTTAGTCATGTCGGTGGCTCATGTCTGATTTCTACTGGGCAGCACAGCCAAGGCCATTTGGCACCTGTAAAGTCAAGTCATGCTCTTGGTTGAACAAGAGGCAGTGACCACCGTGCCATCACCTAGGGCCCTGGTATGCTCACTGGGCACCCTGTGGGTCCCTCTGCTCCCCTCAGCATCACCATCAGACCTCCAACACTGTGCATCTCAGGGAGGTGCACGGCGTGCCAGAGACACACAGTTAGAGGCACGGTGCTCCATTGGTCCAGGTCCACTATGGCTCTCACTGGCTGCCCTGGGAGCAGGGCGTGGCTGGGCAGGATCCCGGGACCAGCTGGGCACAGCCCTCTGGAGGGTGTGAAGGAGAAGCCAGATAGATCTCTGAGCCCTCAATGACCAGCTGGTGTGGCACTGGTGGCTGTGAATGGGCCCACTGAGGCATATCTGGACAGGGTCCCACACAGGCGACCCCAGCCCTCACCAAGATGCAGAGGTGACCTGTGCCTGCTGTTCTCTCCCCAGGAAGCATGGGTCTTGGGAGGCACGAGGAGGAGTCTCCTTCACCCCACACCTCCAGGTCCTGGCTCCGGGCTTGACTCACAAAAAGTGCTTAGTAACTAACTGGCTGAGGGCAGAGTGAAAAATGACTAGCCACTGAACGAATGAATGAAAATAGGTATGAGGCCCCACACTGGGGGCTCCTCACGGGTCTACACCATACAGCATCCCTGGGGGCAGCTACCTCCGGGACTTCCCATAACAGCAGCTGTGTCTGGGGTCGGGATGGCCGGTGTCGACTCTCAGACATAGAGGTGACCCTATGCCTGACATCAGCCACAGCCTAAAGGAAAGAACCAGTGTCCCATCGCAAAGTCCCCTCCCTCACCCTGCCCTGCCTGCCAGTCTAGGCCATTTCCCCAACTCAAGCCTTGAAAATTCTCAAATCTCTTTCTAGGCAGAGCCTGGGTAAGAAACAGCCTTTCTGTTTGATTCTATAAATCGCCATAATGGTCGAATATCCACACCAAGTCCACAGAGGCAGGAAGGCAGGAAAGCCAGCTTTTCAGTTAAAGGAGAAGGGGAAAAGCATGAAAAATTTACTAAACTGGAGCCACAGGGACCAAACTGCATGTTAACAATTCAAATCCATTCCCCTCCCCATGATTTATGATCTACGTTTATAGTAACTGCGGCCATAGGAACTCCCTGGATTAGGGAGGCTCACGCTACTGCCAGGGGATGACCTCACTGGGCTGTGCAAAGCCACCAGACCCAGCTGTGTGACAGCAGTTCCACCCTGTGTTTCAGTTCAAGAGACTGGTCACCACCAGGATGGGCAGGGAAAGAGGGAACATGGGGCCCTAGGCCTGTGCTGACTCCACATGGAGCCCTCACACCTTGGAAACGGCCTGGGGTGCCAGAGTATGGACAGCAGTGCAGGGCGCATCCCCTACTCAGCACCCCAGAGACATCTCATGCCAGGCCCTGGCTTCTTCTCAGAGCCCTCAGCCTATGCTGACCACGGAGGGATGTTTGCAGAGGGTGCAGAGCCCCAGCTCAGGTAAATGATTGAGCAGAAATAGCAGGTCTGAAAGTTGGCCCCCAACACTGGCCTGGGCTCCCCAGAATCTAAGGGAAGCAGGCTTGGGGTACAATCCCACTGTGCCACTGATCACTGAGACGTGTGCCGGGCTGTCTCCTCTCTGGGCCTCGGTCTCCTTATCTTTGTAACGAGGATGGACACAGACAGACCTAACAGAGCGAGTATGGGGGCCGGGAGACCACGAGATGAATGAAGTCTCGGCAGTGGAGGCCGGGAGACCACGAGATGAATGAAGTCTCGGCAGTGGAGGCCGGGAGACCACGAGATGAATGAAGTCTCAGCAGTGGGGGCCAAGAGACCACGAGATGAATGAAGTCTCGGAGGTGCCAGGCCCCACAAACGTGGAGGAGAGCCACTCCCTGGGGTCACCCTGTCACTTGGGTGTTGACAGAGGGTGTGGGACAAGGTACAGGTGGGACACAAAGAAGACACAGGGACTGACCATCTGGTCCGTGGGAGACATTTCACTCCAATCATGGTGCACTCCTTAGACGGCCCAAAGGCCAAATGGGGGTGAACTTACTGTGGGGGTACCAGCCCAGGCAGGTGCACAAGAGGCTTCCAGAGTAGGAGATAACTAGGCCTAAACCAGGCAGATAAGAACGCTGGGAGGGACGGAAGGAGGCAGCTCTCACCCTGAGCTGGGGGCGCAAGGTGGCTACAGACGTGGCCAAGAGCTGGGTCCCCACCCCTGAGGGACCTCCCTCCAGCCGTGCCACCAGCCAGACCCCCGAGCTTTCTGAGCCCCGTACACCAGGGGGGTGGGGGACACTGGAGCCTTTTGTGAGATTTTCTCAGTCTCTAGTTCCTGGGACTGGTCGGGGTGGGGGGTGGCATCTGGGGGTGCTCTAGGCCTTGGATCTGTCTCCCCTCTTCCACTGTTCCTAACCCTCTCACCCACATGGTTGGCCAGCTGTCCTGAGGACTCCGGGGTTCCTACCAGTGGATGGACCCACAGCCAGCCCAGTTTGAGGAAGACCAGTAGGTGGCAACCTCCTAGCCAGCTGACCAGAACCTTCTCTCAGAACTGCATTAGCCTGGGTGACTGGCACATTGCTGAAAGGCTGATTTCTGGGTGCTTTGGACTGTTCACATAGACAAAGACCTCGCAGGAAGCACTTTCCAGCCCGAGAAGCAGCCCTGGGTATGAGTGTGTGAGTGAAAAGGCAGGTATTCTGGGCAGGTGCCTCTAACACAGCAGGTGCTCAGTAAATGCTCTGAGGCTTAGCCATATCAAGATACTTATTCTTAGCCTGAGTTCCAAGATGATGGGAACGAAATACAGCAGGAGTCTTCCCAGAGGAACATGCAGTTTACCTCAGGACAAAGACACAGCTACCTGAGGCAGCCAGAGCCCTGCAGGACAGCGGGCAGCCCACCCACCTCAGGCCGGGTTCCTCATCTGCGAGGAGGTAACACCCCTCTCTTGGCTCCCAGCATAGGGCCACGAGACCCCACCCTGGTCACAGCTGACACCACAAGCCAGGCCTGGCCAGCGTATACTGGACAGAGGAAATCCTCTCAGTGAGAGGAAGAAAGGACACATGGACAATAGCAGGGACCCACCTGGGACCCAACCAGGCCATAAGACAGCCAGACCCCAGACTCCTCTGCTTCAGACCATGCTCTGAGGTCTCTGCTTCTGGAAACGCCAGCTCCAGGTCTGGCCAACACAGCCCCAGTACACCACACAGGTGGCTGGGACGGGCCTCCTACCCGTGAGATCTGCCCGGGGGAGAAGCCAGCCAAGGCTAAGGGGCCACAATCACTCTCACCACCAGACAGTGGGCAGCTTTCCGAAAGGTACCTGTCGTAAAGAACTGGCCTCTCTGAGGTCTTTAAGAAGCACCATCCCCTCATGCACCAGAGACCATACCAAGCCAGTGGCATAGAAGCGCCGGGGCAGGGATGGCCAAGGGCCAGTGCTAATTCCCGTGTGGACCCTGAGTTTTCTCCTGACTCCCCTGACACCCACGAGGAACTTCTCCCCCTCCTTTCTTCCCTGCCCCCCCCCGACTCACTCGGCCAGCTCCTCCAGGCTGCGGTAGACGTCATCGTCATTCTCCGTGGTCTCCTCTGAAGGAAAAGGCCTGTGGGAGAAGATAGAGCGAGGTGAGCAGGTTCCACAGCACTGCCAGGGAGAGGGAGGCGAGCGGGTTCCACAGCACTGCCAGGGAGAGGGAGGCGAGCGGGTTCCACAGCACTGCCAGGGAG